TTAAAACACAAAATGTGGCCATTTGTGACTATATATGAGTAAATATCTAACTATCTATTTATCTATCAATCAATTAATTTTATCTATCTATCTATCTACCTCTCTCTCTCTCTCTATTTACCTCCATATACACATATGTCATTAGGTTGTTCTATAGACTTAGGGAGAGAGAAAACCAATAGCTAAGGTTCAAGTAGACTCTTTTTATAGTGCTAGCAGTCATAATTAGTTATATTTGTTAGCCAGTTTCCACAGCATATTCTGACACTGGAAAAAATAATCCCAAGCACTGGGCTGTAAGAGCAAGAGGGGTCATCATAATTGTTCTTCAGATGCCACTATGTTTGTAGAGCACAAGTAATTGGTTAAGAACATTATGATTTTGAAAAGGAATTATTTAATATTTTATACTACAGTCTTGGTTGTTAGCAGAGTAGGAGTTGAACAAAGAAAAATAACTATGGCTTAGGAGAACTGAATCGTAAAATACTTTATTATGCTTACTGTAAAAAATTTGAACCAGACCATCAAATGAGAAAGTACCTAATCTCTACTCTCCAATCCATACCCCATCTCTATGCATATATTACAAGGTTAGGTAAACCTCAGCGAGGAGGGTGTGAAGGGGAAAAGACTGATGCTGTCAATTAGGATTCATATCACCATATTCCTGAATTTATGATAAACCTACCCATATCCTACTATGATGTTATTCATTGAAATTCTCTTCTAGGCACAAATAGCATGCTTTGAAAGTGCAATTTAAAGCTAACCAGTTAAAAAATGATCCTTTAAATGATTTCTCCTTAGGCTGTAAATTGACTTATGTTGAGCTAGGGCTGGGACTGGAGCTCATAGACCCCTCAAGCCCATTGTCCAGACTGGGTTACAAACCCTTCACATGCCAGGCTGGGTCACCAAACCTCTCACACACAGGTCTATGAGCTAGGTAACCGGCAAAAAGGTCCTTGGAGCTGTAGGTTGGAGAGCATGGCCATGCAGGGTGAACACCCAAGGCAGTAAATGCCAGCCAAGTGGCAGCATGGCACATGCACACTAACTCCACTCACACATAACTTGCTTACAAAGAATGTACTGCACCACCCCCAACCAGACCTAAGGTGAGGGGAGCCTGATTAAATTATTCTATTTTCCCAACAATTTAGGAGCCATTTTATGTACCCAGACTCCAGGTTTAGACAAACATATTTCTCAGACTCTTCTTGGACATTTTGCTTCTTCAAAGATCTGATCAAAGTCACTTTCATGGCATTCACAAATCAGTAATTGACAACATAGTTTTCACCATCTTCTATTGCCACTGTCAGATAATTCTAGGATTTTAATCTTGTACCTTCATTCACTAGTTATCAGATATTGGTAAAAATACTTAAGTTTCTAAAAAGAGGCATAATCTTGTCAGAATTAAACCGGATAATGTATGTAAGTTGCTCAACATAGAGTATTGTACGTGTTGGGGTGCAGTAAACTACTCTCCAAAATACGGCACTTTGGCATGGTGAGTGCTTTTAAATTAAAAGGCCTCAGAAATAAGCCTAAGAATTAAGGTCCCTCTAACTTTGTCTTAGTGCCCCCCTCCAACACCCCAAACGAAGGAAGAGACTTTCTCTGTAGTTTCCTTATCTGAGAAAACATCTTTCCAAAAGAAATGCAAGTGTCTTAAGATCCCTTCTTTAGGAATCTCATCAAATAACCAGGAAAGATTAATCCCCAGAGAAAAGAAGAGAATGGGGGGGGGGGTCACCAACCTGGAAAGATTTCTTAAGATAACATCTGCCTCTCAGGCTCATTCAAATTCCACAAATCAAGTTTATTTCTGTCTCCTGGGTTCATTCATTCTCCCTAATAATCTTTTTTTTTTTTTTTGTTCCTCAAAAGACTGTCTACATTCCCTATTTACCCCCCTCCCTTACGAAGAAGGGTATATAAATTTCTGTACCCCATTGGATTATGGTGCTATGCATATTAAAATAAAATTTGTTGCACCTTCATTTTATTAGTCTGCCTTTTTGTCTGTTGATTTTCAGCAAACCTTCAGAGGGCAAAGGGAAACATACCTGTTACTAGTCATGATTTTCCCTAATTTTAATCCTCCAATGGACCCCCAATATCTTCAGGATATATGCTAGTACTCTTAACTTGGCCAAAAGAGTGCTTTCATTTTGGCCCCTGTAAAACTCTCCACTTTCATCTCCCACCATTTTACCATTCTTGTCTTCTCTGCAGCCACAACAAATTATTTTCTCTTTAATATTTCTTGCTGTCTCAGGCCTCAATGCTTTTGCTGCTCCCTGACTTCTCCTGTTTAAAGAATGAACCCCCGCTTCTCATCCTCCAGAAGCCTTTCATGACCCATTTGTGCTGAATTAAGCTTCTTCTCTATGCTCTCATAATGCACTTAGCATATATTTATGAAACCACATATCACTAATCTTGTATTTTTTTTAATTTAGACTTTCATTTTCCTCCCACAAATCTGGACTGCAAAGGCTATAGCTCTTATTATTACCTTTTTATCCCCCAGGCCTCACACAGAGTATGGCATATATTAAGTCTTTTACACATTTTTGTTGAATGAATGAACATTGTACTGAATCATCACTGAGTATGGGACCTTTCTGCTGGGGAAGGAACTTTTCTTCTATATAACATCTGAAGAAATTCTTGTCCTGAAAGTACGATGAGTTAAAATTTAGAGTTAATACCAAATCAAATTTCTAATATTTGGATTAGAACTTATTTTTTTAATTAGACTAAACTGCATTCATTAAAAGCCCCAACTGAACATAATGACTAATTTAGATTTACTAGAATGAGTTTGTCTAAGAGTACATTTCTAACTTAATAGTGCCATACTCAAAAATGTCATACTTTTAAAAGTTATGTGAGTTTCTTCATCTGTGGAATAAAGAGAACTGAGAGGCTGCTAAGTTTAGCAGGTTGTGCAATAAAAACAGCCTCGAAAAGACAATGACTTGATGCTACCTTGGATCAAACTTTCCTTGGATTATATTCTTGGCTTTTCACCTAGCCTAATGCTTGAAATGTAGACAAGGAAAAACTAGTCAGCAGGACATAGCTGGGATGCTTTTTCAGATATTTTTATATTGACTTTATTGTAAAATTATGCTTAGTAATCATTACACTCTACTCCCAATAGTTTAAATTCTAGCTTGAGAAGTCTATAGTCTCCAGCAGGATAACAAGTGATTATCACTGATATTAAACATCCAGGTTACGGGTATTCTTTTTACTCATTAAAGTTGACTCTTTCTCTAAGCTGTGTTTCTTCTTACTTAAATATGTCAGCATTTTCCCACTTTTTAGTTAAATATAGTTGTAACAAAGAAGTTCTTTGGATTAATATTGTTCATCAATGTAAAAACAACAATAACAATCAAACATTCCTTCTGTCATAGAATTTGAAATTCAAGTAGGGATACACTGGGGAAATTTTGGCCTATTTCATAGTCTTACCATTAGTACTTGCAATGGATGACTGAATTGTGTCCCCCAAAGTTCATATGTTAGAAGTTTATTCCCCACTGTAACTGCTGAGAGTGGGAAATCTTATTATACTAATTGAAAGGTGTATCCTTGAAGAGGTGATTAGATTATAGGACCATTCCATAGTGAATTGATTAATAACTATGGTCAGGGGTGTTGTTCCGAGAGATTTAAAAAGAGAGTACCATTTCTCTCATGTGAGACTCCTGGGTCACTGCTGCCTCCACCAAGACCCTCACCAGATGTGTTTCCTGGAATTTGGACTTCCCAGCCTCAGAAACCATAACCAATAAATTTCTTTTTCTTTATAAATTACCCAGTTCCAGGTATTTTGTCATAAGCAACAGAAACAGACCAATACTGTACTTCATAATAATTCAAATTATAGGACTTAACATGACAGTGGGGTAGTTAAGAGCACAGGTTTTGGTAGAAGACAGCTCTCAGTTTCAAATTTTAATTTAACTTCTTACCAGTTGCATAAATTTGGGCAAATTGCTCAATTCCTTTAGGCTTCTGTTTTCTTACAGGTAAAATTAGGAAAATAATACTTGTCTCATTGGCTGTTGAAAGGTTTGAATGAAATAATACATGTAAAATACTGCATGTCATTTCAGGCACTTATTGGGGATCAATAAACGGCAGCTATTATTATTGTTATTCACAAAAAATTAATGTAATAAATTTGCTATTCTTGGATGATTACATTAATACAGTATTTTAGCAATGATGGGAAAAGATTTTTATTATGATTATATATTTGAACATTTTTCTATAGAAATTCATAGCAAAAGCAACCCATATTGTTCTTACAAAGATAGCAGTGAGATGGATTTCAGAAACTCAAAATGAATTCAATGGTAGAACTCGGGTCAGAATGAGTAGGAGATTTGAAAGCCTATTTTACATGACATTGCAACATCTCACTCCCTTCATCTTCCATTTTGCTTTTCAATAAGTTGAAGTTATGGAATTAATGTGAGTTTTAATTAAGCCCATGTATGTATATTTAAACATAATGGCATTCCAGTGGCGTTTGTCCCCTGACCACTGTTTTTACTGATTTGAGACAACAAGCCAAAGATGCACAATTTTAAACTAACTGCTAAAATCATTTGTACATGGCTTTATTCTCTTCCAAGTTTTCATTAGTATCATATTATGATGCCAGGACTGGCAAACAATTAGGCTAATGCCATCCATTGAGACTCTGTGTTATAGCGTGAGTGATGACTTCTGCATAAAGGGACATATCTGAGCCACATTACAATTGTGGTAGAGCAAGGCATTTCATAGAAGTATTTAATTATAGCACCAAAACATTAACTGAAATGACTGCATGGATGTTTACATGAACAGAATCTCATTTGAAGAAGCTATTAACAATTTGGGACAACTGGTTTTAAAATATCAGATCAAATTGGAATGTACTAAATTAACATCTTACTTTATTATCCTTGTATGAAACTTACTTTCATCTCCTGTTTCAAACTCAAACTTCTGACTGTAGCCACTGTATCCTGTTGCAGTCCTCACTCGGATATGAAATATGTACTTGGTGGCTGGCTTGAGACCTGTGATGATGACACTGGGGGCCTTGGACCTTGTGGAGGAATAGGTGAGCTGCTCATGCTCCTGGGGGACAGAAGAGAGACATTCCAAAGTTAAATTGAAGAATTATGTTCTGAGTATCTAAAGTATTGATTAAAAAGAAGTAAGCATGGTTTTCCATAATTTAGCATTTAGTTGTTTATCATTGTGATGCTTATGATATGGCCCTGATTTGGAAATTTATTAAGAATGATGATTAGTCTTACGTAAACTACGCTTGTACTGTTGGTGATTTAGATTTCTTATCCAACTCTAAGTTATGGTGGTGATGTGAGAGCACATTTACACAGAATGGCAATTGCATCTTGAGCAAAATGGGCACATTAGATCAGACCACACCAGCAGAGTGCAAGGAGCAAAGGTGGGGGAATTCAAGTACCCGCTACTCACTTCTACCCGCAGGTAGTGCCAAAATGCCGGCGCTATCCGTGGGTAGACCTGTGGGTGAAAGGAAAAATAAATTAATTGCTTTTTAAAGTTTGAAATTTTTTATCCCAAAATCGATTGCTTTGATCTGTAACTCAGTGATTTTCCAATAGTAAAAACTAAAGTTGAGTTAACTTTAAGAAATAAAATGATGAAATTTTTCCCTTGAGGGAGAATTGACTTCTCCCCTAAATACTAAAGCTTATTTGTAAATATGTACAAGTTACATAGTGATTGTCAGGTAGATTTAAAAATAATCTGCCCGTGCAGGAGCACTGAAGACATAGAAATGTATGAAAGACTTACCACGCCTGAGGAATCAGAGGCAGGGCTGGAGGCCCGGTTCTCAGTCTCCTGCATTAACTGCCAAACTTCCTCACCTCACTAATAGGACATGGATTTTCCAGGGCATTCTGATATGATCTAGTCAGTCAGGATGTTTTAAGTGGGCTCGCTTGCCCACTACCTCAGAACAGGACAGTTTCTTTTAACTGAGAGACCACAAAATACTGGTGGTGGGGACAAATTAAACTTAATACTGTTTAAATATAGTGTTATTATCCAATAAATCTATAATGATATTTTAAAAGTGTAAAAAAATTGTATTTGTATGAACAATGCTTCTAAATGTCAAGCTAGGTCAACAAGTCCTTAAGTTAATTTCCACTATTCTCTTCATAAATCTATAGATAGAGATGATCAGGGATGTAAGTGACTTTCAAGGTCAATAATTAAATCAACTGTTCGATGCTTAAATTCTATCTACAATATTCCCATCAAGACTTCATTTAGCATTTGCCTGAAAACCTCTGTTGTTTAGGAGACCTTCTAGGCTAGCAAACCAAGTTATAATAATCTAAACATATGAGGAATTTCCAAACTTCATTTATTTGCTGGTGATGTTTTAAGATTTAGAACTATGAAAATCATTTCCCTTAAGCTGTTTCTGAGAAAAAAAATTTTATCCTACTGATCATTTTTAAACTTTATGGCATTATTTGTCATAACTTTATATGCTATATGGTTATTCTGTGTCTAGCTGAGGAATTGAATTTGCCAGCTATAGTCCAAATAATAAAACTATTTATTAAACATGAAGTACAAAGAAAAAAAAATGAGTTAACAACAGCAATATTTTAAATGAAATAGACAAAACAGTAAAACTGCAACTTATATTTATCACTAGATAATTTTGAGATTAGAAAGTAAATAAGTATTTATCCAGATAACATAAAATCCAAGGAAATAAAGTCTTATAAATAATTAATGTCTATAATCATCTGCTATGGGTTGAAAGCAGAAGCTTGTTAATATCAATGCTTTTGTATTTAGGAGGCTTAAAACCCAAATTATGGGGGGAAAATGTTTGTGGAATATTGGAAGAAATGATGTTGTGTCTGGTAGAAATTTGCAGGACATTTTGATTTTTCAAACTCATATACAAGAGGAGAACAGTTCATCTTTCACAGAATTTTCTGCAACATAAGAGTTTTGGTGCATTTTGAGTGCTGTTTCACAATGTGAACTGATGACAGAGAGAAAAATTTTAAAGCATTGAAAAAAAAGTTGTCATATTCCCAAAGACAGAAGACACGGATTTGAAAATTTCCTCTTAGAATGGCCCCATAATAATTACACATTATGTCTTTGTTGCTTCACCACAACATAGTTAAATTGTAATTTCCTACTCAGTAAAGTTACAAGGAATAAAAAACGCCTTTTGCAGGCAACTTTAAGCATTTCTGCTTTATGTACAAAAGTCTATCTGCACCTACATCCACAGGTAGGAAGGTGCACAAATGGATCCTCAGCCTGAATCACTCATTACTAGCGTGAGGGCTGCTGCATTCATACTTGGCCACTTGCTAGTCTGATGAGAAAGAAGGCTCAGAAAGCAGCAGTCATGAGAGTTTCTCTCACAGTACATAGCAGCCCTCTCTCCTCCTGGTGTTTTTAAGCTCTTTGGAAACCAGGTTAGCTTTTATTTGTGAGAAGCATAGGGTGCTATTGTTCTGGAATTTTGGCTTATTGCCTTTCTGCTGCCATATCAACTCCAATTCAAAGTAGCCAATTACAAGGCGGAGACCACTCTTTGCCCCAGAGCCATCTATATCTTTATCCATCCTGGCAGACTGAATTCTGAACATTTTTAAATAGGGTATTTGAGCATATTTTTCTGGAGTTTGTGCCATGATGGAATTGCTAGTTGTGTGTCACGTACCTCTTCAACTTTGCTAGGTAATACATTCGATTGTTCAAAAAATTCTCTTAAATGTTTTTCATCTTTGCTGAATCTATAGTAAAATCCCTCTTTTCTCATAATATTACTTATTTTTGTATTTTCTTTTTTCACGGTCAATTTTTCCAGACATTTGAAGCAAGTTTTAGCCATGTTTCCCTTTAACATCTGCTCTTACTATAAATTATTATTAAATTATATTTTCTTTTTTCCTTATACTTCTTTGTGTTAATTATGCTGTCTCCTATCTTCTTATGTTTCATGCTTAACTCATTATGAGCACATTGTTTCAAACACATAATTTAAGTTTACAAATTTCATACTAAGTACTGCAGTAGTTATACTCCATGAGCGTTCATAAGTTGTATTATCAATCAGTCCTAAGTACTTACTAATTTCCAGAAAATACAATTTTTTAAATTCTTTTTGGAAGATCCAGGATTATCACTTGCACACTTTTATGGATCGAGACAGATTGTCAGGCAGTAGGTAACTGGCATATAGCCAAGCACACTGAACCGTGGACAGGACAGTGGATGCTCAGTGGCTGAGCACACCGGCAGTCCTGTGCACTAATGCTTGTTGGCTGAAAGTGAAAGAGGTTGTTGTACTGCTCCTGCTTGGATGAGCACAGAAAATAGCACCAATTGTAGGGAAAAGACATTTAGTAACAATACACTTTATACTATTATGTATATCACTTCCTAAAATAAAACATATATATATACAGCTTCTATTTTATATATTCATATACACATTTAAAAAAAATACTGTTGAGAACCAGATAGTGTGAATACAGGGCATCATCGAACAAGGCAGGTGTGGTTTACTTTCTAGAGATGTTGACCTTTACTTATAGCTCTCTCCCATGGGAAGATCCTGGAGCTTATACTCAGGCACTTCTCCTTCCCCACAGTTGAGTATTAGGCTTTTCTGGGAGTTTAATTTTACTGTCATACTGAACCTTTCATTTACCTACAGTACCAAACTTAGCTTTATCTCTATCGGTGTCAACACTTCATGGTGACTAAAAGGGACAATTTTAGACTAGAGTCTGGATAGTGTTAGCATTTGCTCTGAAAACTATGACTTAGGGAAAAGAAATAGACTCAGGTGCCCAGTCCTTATGGCTGCATCTTTCTACATTCAGAGGTAACGACCTGTACCAATGGAAGGCATCATGTAGAGAATTCTGGGTTGAAACTCTCCTGTCTTGGACTTGATCTTGATACTGCTTCTGTTACATACCTTGGTAAATCACCTTTAAGACTTTGATTTACTCATCTAGAAAGTTCATTTATTCTGCAGACATTCATTGAATTCTCACTATGTGTAAGGTTCTAGGGCACTCTAGTAGGTTTAGCTTACACAATCACCAAAGTACTACCTGGCAATTAAATTCTATAATTATTTTTATCACAGAAATGCAGGTACTCTTTCTTCTGCAATGAATTTTCATTTCCCTCTCTTAGGTTTACCATTCTCACTGATGGGAAAAGATTCAATAATAACAGCATAATGGCAATCTTTTAGCTGGTATACTTTCTCTTAAAGTCTTTGGGTCTAGTGGGATTTCTGAAAAGTGTCATCTCTTCACTTTTTAATTTTAAATTAATTGGATTACATATGATCAAAAATTTTGTTGTAGACTTTTTTTCTACATATATGGTAGTTCTGTCCTTTTCCATGGTCTCAGTTACCTGTGGTCAACTGCAGTCCAAAAGCACTAAATGAAAAATTCTAGAAATAAACAATTCTTAAATCCTAAATTGTGTATTGTTCTGAGAAGTGTGATGAGATCTTGTGCCACCTGCTCTGTCCTAACAGGGTCACGAATCATCTCTTTTTCCAGTGTATCTATATTGTATACACTCCCTGGTGGTAGTCACTTAATAGCCATTTGGTTATCAGATGGACTGTTGAGGTATCACAGTACTTGTGCTCAAGTAACCTTTATTTTACTTCAAAATGGCCCTAAGGAACAAGAGTAATGATGCTGGCATATTGCTATAATTGTCCTATTTTATTACTGTTGTTAATCTCTTACTGTGTCTAATTTATAAATTAAACTTTATCTAGGCATGTAAGTATAGGAAAAAACATAGTATTTTTGGACATGGTACTCTCCGCAATTTCAGGCATCCACTGGGGGTATTGGAACATATCCTCCGAGGATCAGAGGAGACTACTGAAGATCTAATGGTACAACAGCAATCATAACCACCATGATTTATGTAGTGCTTCCCAACTTAAAAGGTGTTTTCGTAAACTTTCTTTATATAATCCTCATAATAATCTTCTGAAGTAAGAAGAACTGGTAATATTTTTATCCCCATTTAGCATATGATGAAACTAGTCCATAAAGAATAAGCAAACCACCAAAGCAAGTTACACAAATAGTCAGTGGCTTCATCCATGTTGTGCTTTGTTCACTATACCCTAGTTAAGCAGGTACGTCCAGACCAGACACGCCTATAGATTAGACATTGAGCCAAAGTCATTTTCTCTACTTTATGTTCTTGATCATCTAGACACTAGAAGTGACTTTAAATTTAACACAGCCTATGAACCACATGGTTACGATTTGTTGGCTAACAATGAGAATACTTTTATATAGTTACTCAATTGGCAGAAACAATGAACACCACAGGTTTTAACTGGATATTTCAAAGATGAAATTATTTTCTGACTAAGGTCAACACATACATACTACCATACATGGGCTTTTATTTTATTTTATTTTTTGATATTATGTCATATAGATAGCTTCTAGGTAATATAGGAGACTCATAACTCATTCAATCTTGAATGGAACATACAACATATTCTTGATCAGGCCTGGGAACAGAATTTGTTTGGTAAAGTCCCGGAGATTCTTTTAGAAGTTTTGTTGTATGAAGGTAACTGCTAGGCTCCAAGTTATAACTATCAATAATAGGTAAAAATGCTATTAATATTTAGCAGTCTACTGCCAAAACCATTGTTTTCCTTTTTCTCTTTCTTTCTAACAGTGTTCTAATTAAGGCTATGATAAAACTCTGGTTCTACTGGCTAGAAGACTGAAGCTTTAGATAGCTTGATAAAACAAAACAATATTAAAAGTGGGTATTAATGGTTCTGCTAGGAGTCATCTAAGTCATTTTTTAGATGACTCTCTCTCTCTTTCTCTTTCTCTTTCTCTCTCTCTCTCTCACACACACACACACACACACACACACACAAACACAGTCATCAAACACTACATGATAGAGGGCTGTGGAGATGTCTCCACAATAATCCTCTCAAAAGTAAACAAACTAAAACCACATTCAGAACATGATTCATTATCTGCAGAAGGATATTTTTCCTGAAACGAATTAAGTATTGTATGGCCTAGAAACAAAGTTTGAAAGGTTATCAAAGAATCTTGTTGCGTAACTATGGTATTAGCAAATCTAAAAGTATTTAACTTGAATAAAAGAAAGATATTTCACATGACTTTAGGAAAAGCAAAGATTGAGTGCTAGAGCTCGTCAATGTTTAACAATTACTTGTCAAAGGAGAGACACAGTTAACCTAATGGACTTCATTTTACTGGTCACTACAAGAATGAATCCCACCTGGGGCAGGTACTCATTATACCCTGGCTGAAAGATTTCTTAAATTTATTCATCTTTTCTTTAATGCTGAAATCTTCTGATTACTAATGTGGATTTACACAGTGCTGTAGAAGCATACATAAATATATTTGTTCCTGGAAAGGGAAGGCTTCCCTAATTTAATACATGAACATTCTGGTTGGTTCTCCAGTCTCATTTTGGATTTAATTAGAATGAATCAATCCTTCAGACAGTTGTCAACTCGGTGCATTCCATTTCCAACATTTGCAAAACAGAGTACCACAATGAGTTGTGTGAGCCCAGGAACTGAAGTTATAGCATTTCTGTAAAACAGGCATAATCAAAAAAGAGCTTATGGTCCTAAAAGTCATCCATTTACATTCTTGTATCAATTGTCTTGATTAATCTTATCTAAGTGTTAATCTACTTCTTTTTTAAAGATCTTTGGAGAAAATTTTATTCTACCCTAGCCAACTCATAAGGCATACAGAAAAGGTTCTTTCTAACACTTAAAATAACTATCTTAATAAAATTTAAAAACAAGTTTTTAAAAATATATTTGGAAAATGTCTCTTCTAAAAATTAAACTATAATAAACCATCATTTCTCTCTACCAATCAGGATCGTTTACTTAAAAATTTCTAAAGAATCAACTTAAAAAATTTAGAACTAATTAAGAGAAGTCAGGTAGCCCACATACAACCGTCAGTAGTTTTCCTATACTCTAGCATTGACCAATTAAAATTATGTTTTAAAATATTCCATTCACCACAGCAACAGAAACTTTATAATACATAAGTATATTATTAAAAAAATGTATAAGACCTATTTGATTAAATCTATAGCATAGCATTTTGTAGGAACCAAAAAAGAAAGTTTCTTATTTTTCTTGTATTACTGCAATGCTAAAGATATTGCAGAGTAGCAGTATAAGCAGGAACCTCATTTTGCTTTTTTCTTTAGTGGAACAGCTTCTAATTGTGTCACTGTTAAATATAATTATGTCTGACTTAGGTTTTTCGACAGATATCCAGTTAAGGACTTTTCTTCCTTTTTCTTACACTTGAGAAAGAAAAGTAGCTCAGGGAAATCTAATGAATATGAAATATGCTAAACTTATAAGGCCCAGAGAGAGATGTGAGTGTGGGACTTTAGTCATGTCTCCTTCACCCATGTCTTGGATAATTGGTGAAAAGGTATGTTTTGGCAATAATATCCAGATAGCTGCCATTACCAAAGGCTATAAATTACCCAGATATTATCACAAGTTGTACAATGTAACTCTCACTCTTTCTTTGTAGTAAGGTTCTTGGAATTTATGGTGTAAAGATATGCACAGCCAAACACTAGCTTATGTTGTTTTAGTGAGTCAATGTAAATTCCTGGAAAACAACTTTGGAACTATCCCCTTAACTTTTCCTTTTTTCTTTAAAAGTTTATAACTGCTGCCAGACAGAGCACATATTAAGGACAAATTGAATCTGTGTTTCCTTGGCCGCAGTCCTCAACCTTGGCCCAAATAAACTCCTTGCTCTCTATATTTTTGCCCCAGTTTCTTTTTTTGAGGTAGATGCCCTGATGTTTTGTTCATTTGTATTTTGATTTTAAAGTATAAAATGGATTCCAGGCCTTATGAAACAATTATCTACTGCCAAGTTAATTGTATGTTTTTTACCTTAATGTAGTATATACTTATGAAGAACTATCCTTGCATTCCTAAGATAAATCCTACCTGTTAATACTTGCTCATAATATAGTATTGTAATTTTATTGCAATTTTGGATTCAATTTGATAATATTTCAGCTAGAACTTTTTTTTTTGACTGGTAAGGGGATCGCAACCCTTGGCATGGTGTCGTCCACACCATGCTCACCCAGTGAGCACACCGGCCATCCCTATATAGGATCCAAACCCGCGGCCTTGGTGCTACCAGTGCCGCACCCTTCTGAGTGAGCCACAGGGCCGGCCCTCAGCTAGAATTTTTAAACCTTTGTTTATAAGTGATCTTGGCCTATAGTTTTCTTATGTTTTTTTTTTCTTTTTTCTATTATCAATCTCTAGTCATGATATTTGGGTTATGCTATATTTAGATAATGTATTGAAAAACATTCCATTTTTTAATGTTCTCGAATAATTGACACAATATGAGAATTATCTGTTTCTTGAAAACCTAATTGAAGTGGACCATTTTGGTGGCAGATATTTGACTACCTTTCAAAATTATTTTATCCTATATTCATACCTTCTTATTAAGTTTTGGTAAATACTAGAAAATCACTGTTTGTTTTATTTTTATTGACATAAATACATGTAGTCTTATCTTGTCATTTTCTTCCATAACTAAATAACATTTTCCTCCTCTTATTCCTGGGCAAGCTTGCTTATTTGGTCTGTCTATTTAAAACACTGGCTTTTATATTTTAAATTAAATATACTTGATTCTATTTCATTAATCTTTGATTCTACACCTGTTCATTCCTTTCACCTATTTTGTTTTTCCACATTGGTCATATTTCACAGTTTTGGATACATGTGTATCTCAATGTCTTTCCTTTTTAAAGAGTTTACAGTTTAAATATATTATGCTTTTATATATATATTACTTATTTAAGATAACATTTATTTTTAAGTGAATATATTTGGGGGTGGCATGGGGAGTTTATTTTCTGAAAATTCTCTGATTTTGTTACCTAATTTTCAAAGGATGATTTCTGCTATAGGGAATTTGTTGAAATTTTTTGTCTTAATGCACAGGCAATATGTGTGTGTGAATGCTTTGTAAGTAAAAATAACAGGTAAATTTTTAGAATTTTAGAAGCAATATGCTATATCCACTTAATTAAAAAGCTTAAAAATTTTCTATTAGTTATAATCTGTGAGATGTTTTATAATCTTCCAGTATGACTGTATATTTCTCAATTTTGCCTTATATTTCAGACAGATTAAAATTATGCAAAGATGTATAAGACCGGCATTTTAATATTATAAAGACATTATAAAGTAAGAAAATATAGACATCTTAAATAAAATAATCTCTACATTCTTTAATTCTAACTTCATTTAGCACTTAAATTGATACCAGCCGGTCTCTTCCTCTAGTTATTTCACTGTGTGTCAATATAAATCCCACAAAAGACTGCAATTTCCTCAAAAATGTCGTCTATATTTTCCTAAAGTGAAACAATGAGAAAAAAAAAAAAAAGTGCTGGATGCATAGTGAGTTTTTAATGTCTATTAATTGATATCTACAAAGGAATACCTCAACCATTTCACACAGGGTGTATCTGGTGCAGCTCTGATCACATATCACTGGGAACAGGACTACTGAATTTGCTGCAGCACTTTACGGGCAAACACTGGGACAGCTTCCAGCTCACACCTATTCTGTGACCAGATCTAAGTACACCCCACCAGCAGGGGAAGATGTGTCTGGCCAATTGTCCCAGAGATAACAGCAAGCTAGAATGATTACAGATTTCTTTTCCTACGTGATTGAATCCATTATAAGGAGCTACAGAGACAGAAACTGCATTGAAGTTGAATAACTTCAGCTTTCCTGGTTCCTGCTTTTCTGAGGCTGGGATGTTCCACTGTGCCATAGATTCTGCATATTGACATCCTTACATCTTAGTCACAATTGGGTTCTGATGCTGGCGACTAAGACAGTTGCTTTATTTTCTCACATTCGTTAAAATGCACAAGAGCGGGTTTCTAATTTGGGGAGAGAAGGCGTTAAGAGTTTGTTAGTAGGGTGGTGTAAGCTGATGGGTAGGGTGTTCTGAAATGTTTTCCTTAGGTAAAAATTAGCCACTGCTATGACAAAATTACAAAATATGCATAAGTAAGAAAAATGCAGCAGTAGTTATTGCAAGTACACAAGTACTTTCTGACTGCACTTCTGGAGAAGTATCATTTAGGATACCATAGCTATAATTTACTACAATCAACTCTTGATTATCCTTAGTAATCCAAACTAGGAAATAACCCCAAATTACTTTGAAATATATTTATGACTCATATATTCGTTCCAATGCATATCTTGTTTCACCTCAAATGAAGATTAAATGCATTCTCTGAACATTAAATATTGAGCAATATTGCAAATGGCATAGAAGCACACCTGATGGTAGAGGAATATTGATCTGGAATTAAACATTCATAGTTGATTTTCACAAAACACAGAATTTATATGTAGATAATTAACTGCTTGAAATAGTGGTTCCATTTACTTTTAAGAGAGATGGCCTAATTTTTATACTGTGGCCTTTAGAAACTACTGGTGCTAGGATAAGACCAATAGAGTCCGAGCTGTAGTCAGTTCATCTGTGAAAATTGGGATGGCTATACTATCAAAGGGTCAGGCTTGTTGTAAAGATAAAGCAAAATAATGTGTAAAACCATTTTACAGCTTCCAGTAGATGTGTAATACAGCATTATTTCTTTCTTTTAGAAACAGTTATCCATAAGTAGGGCATTTAATCCAGGGCAGTGATAGCCTTGTGCCTTAAGGTAATCCTGCTGATGCTTTGAGAGGTCTTGTGAAAAATGTTGTATGTGTCTTGCTTGCCTGTTTACCTTCATACTCTCACTGCTTAAGACAGTGTGTCCAGAATATTACAGTCTCTCATTATATATTATCCAAATGATTGAGGAAATTAATGAATTAGTTGCTCTAAAGTACCTTTTGAATTCTTAGATATTGTTATATTAATTTAAAATTGTTTCTATAAATTAACAACAATTTAAATGAGAGATGAGAAAAATTGTTTTTGCTGGTTATAGTACTTCCATAATTAAAATGCAATAATATTTTGTCAGTATAGTCAGCTTGTTTTCTTAGAATATTGTGGAGAATGTCCAAAATTTTACTTGCCAAAAAATATTTTACAAAACAGTATGTTTATGAAAACACTATGATTTGTGCTGAAATATCTTTTAATACATAATCTTAATATTTATTCGGTTTTAACTTTCCCATCCATCTTCATGTAACCTACCCTTGTATGTATGCGATATACATTTTTCTTCTGTTCTCTACTACTTTATAAATATTTATAATGGTGTTAAAGTAAAAATGAAATGCTTAAAGCTTGATACTTTTCCCTGAACAAAGTGACTTCATTCCAAAATTCCTTAATGATATTTCTTAAAAGTATATGATAGACAAATAACAACTTTAAGTTTGTCATTCATTCTTAAAATTTTTGATAATTTACAGCATTTTAAAGTCATGTAAATTTGGTTATAAGAATAATGATATACACATAGAAAAAGTAGAAAATATAAATAGCAGAGAAGAAAACATTTAAAGAATTTATATTTATTTGAGTATTGAGGATAGATAAAATTATTTTTTACTAAAAGGGGGAAATAAAAAGGAAAACCACATTTATTATAAGACTATTTGAGGGTTACACTGAATTTAAAAGAAGAGTTTACAAATTCCTACTAATGTCAGTAGTTGAGGTCAAATAGTAAAACAACTACATAAATGCTAGATAAAAACATCTTTACTATAAAAATTGCCTAAGTTATAATAAATGCCACAGAAGAAAAAAAACCACTATCTTTGGGAACATTAATACACATATGTTGATTTTTTTCAAATATAAATGATATTCCAAATGTCAAACTGAACATTTTCAAGTTTAAATCATTATAGTAACATGGCATAATGAAATGGCATAAAACTAGGGAGGCAACCCATACATGGTCCTTTGATTATACCTAACTGTGGGATGTGATTAAAAAAACAAAGGTGGAGGAATTTTTTTTTTAAATGTAAATGATGGGTATGTTAATTTGCTTCACTATAGTAACTGTTTACTATCTATATGTATCCCATAATATAATGTTGTATCTTAATTATATACAATCAAATCCATTTTTAAAAAACATAGAGAGTTAAATTCTTTCACAATAGTGCTAATTGAATTACAGGATAGGTTAGATAAACAAAAGATAGCAAGAGTACAAAATAAAAAAAAAATCTTCGAAAATAAAATTATCAGAGCATAAATGCGGGTGGACTTAGCCTCCAACTCTATCTCTTGGTTGCTAGATTTACTGAATTAAATAATAAGGAATGTAAGGTGGGTAAAATTTCACTAGAGTGAGAATGTCAGTAGAATATGAGAAAATATTTTGTAGAAAAGTCTCTACCGAAATACAGAATCATCTGTGAATATAGGTAAAGGCAGATTTGTCTAAATAATCTACAAAATATCGTGGTACTTCTTACATTGAATTGAAAAGAGAAATTAATTGAAACATACAAGTATGAGAATTCCTTAGCTTTATTTAGAACAGGGTAAAAAACACTTTCTGACGATAAATATCTTTTATTTATCTTACCTATCCTGTAATCATTATTTTTTATTTTTATCTTTCCCATTTAAATGTATTTTGTCACTACGGTGGCACTTTAATTTTTTTAAAATATGTTTATGAGTCTGAAGTGTTATCTGATGACAGATACATTTGTTTTGTTCAAAACTAAAACAAAAATGTCTGTTTTAGATTGATCTACAAAGCTATAGAGAATAAATTGTTTTAAGAAATGCAATCCCTCCTCCCCAAAAGAGAGATTTTTTTTTTTTTTTTTTTTTCCTTTTTGAGACCGGCCGCACCGCGCTCAGCCAGTGAGCGCTGTGAGCACACCGGTCATCCCTATATAGGATCTGAACCCGCGGCAGAAGCGCCGCTGCGCTCCCAGCGCCGCACTCTCCCGAGTGCACCACGGGCTCAGCCCCCCA